GTGTTAGCTTATTTTCTGTGGCTGAGAAAGAGAAGGAAAGTAGAAGAAAGATTATTTTTTCTCACAGAATCATAGAATCATTCAGGTTGGAAAAGACTTGGGACCATTGAGTCCAACCATCAGCCCTACTCTACAAAGTTCTCCCCTACACTATAGCCCCCAACATCTCATCTAAATGACCCTTAAACAAATCCAGGGATGGTGACTCCACACTAGCAACTCATTCTGTGAAAAGTTTTTTCCTAATGCCCAGTCCGAACCTCCCCTGATGCAGTTTAAAGCCGTTCCCTCTTGTTCTATCACTAATTACCTGTGAGAAGAAACCTCTCAGCACCGTCTCTACAATGTCTTTCAGGTAGCTGTAGAGTGATGAGGTCTCCCCTCAGCCGTCTCCTCCTCAAACTGAATATTCCCAGCTCCCTCAATCACTCCTCACAGGATCTGTTCTCCAGGCCCTTCACCAGCTTCGTTGCCCTCCTCTGCACTGGCTCCAGCTCCTCGATATCTCTCTTGTATTGAGGTGCCCAAATCTGCCAACTCTTTCAGCACCTTTGGGTGTCACCCATCCGGTCCCACAGACGTGTGTGCATCCAAGTGGTGCAGCAGGTCTCTGACCACCTCCTCTTCAACTGTGCTGACCTCACTCTGCTTCCCCTCCCCATCTCCCAGCTCACGAGGCTGGGTGCGCAGGGAACAGCCAGTTCCACTGCTAAAGACTGAGGCAAAGTAGGCGTTAAGCACCTCAGCCTTTTCCTCATCCTTAGTTACCATGTTTCCGTCTGTCTCTCTAGAAAGGATCAGGCTTAAAGTGTTGGTTGACAAGAGCATTGCGTAGCACATATCCTCTAAAAGCTCCTTCAAAGGGCTGATGAAAGAAAAAGTATATTGTGAATGCAATAACTGACCTAACTTATACGTGTTAATGAAGATATGTATTGATTTGGCTATGAGGAATGCTTATCCTCTAAATATATAAATGTAAAATGGTAATCACTCACTCTGAAGTTTCTGACCTTCCCTGAATGAAGTATGAAACACACCTCCTTAAGTCAAACTCTAGAAGTTTCAAGCAAGGGAAAGGTGTGCAAGTAGTAAAAAATTATCATACACTAAATGTACTTGTTTCATACACATAGTCTAAGAGTCACAAATTAAATCAGAAAAAGGTTTTCTGGACTGAAGCACAGTGGAAATCTAACAATGATAAAGATAAAGTTACTAAGGGAACTGTGGAGTGATGGAGGCAACAAGGGACTGAATGGCTAGCAGAACTTTTGCTTCCCTCTCACTTCCTGGTATATCTTTAGGATCAAAGTTAATCCTACAGTTTGAGTGTCTAGGAAAATAAGTAGAATATGCAAACTGAAGCTGATATACAAACTAAGACTTCCCAGAAAATAAATATAGTAAGAAATGTGAGAATATATGCATTAATAAGTGTATATATGCATAATTACCATTTATTGAGAATGGATCGTACTTTAGTTAATAAATAAATAAAATTTTCCTTAACAGTTGTAAGCTTTCTCTTCTATGAATTTCTGGCTGTTGCTGCTTTGTTCTTCATAAAGCGCATCTTTAAAATTAATAGAAATTACATGTTTATTGAAGGGATCAGCAGTCTATAATGTAGTCTCATTCTATTTGTACAGTTGGGTCCTTCTAATAACGGTCTATCACCAGAGCAGTGCAGATCATACTGAACACGGCTGGGGATATATGTTTCACATTGTCACGGTTTCTTCTGCTAAGCCTCAAGACTAATGGGAGACAAAGCTGATCAGAATTTGGTCTGTACGTACAGCCATAATTCACAGGTAGTATGTTTTTACACAATTCCAAAGTAGCGACAGTCAACCTAGTTGACTATCTGGTGAACTGAGATTAAGAGCAATACAAGTCTTTCCTGGTCTAACTGATCATTTATAATACACAGAAAGAGACAACTGTTCCTTGATAACTTTTTTTCAAGAATTTCCTGATTTTTCTTACATAATAAATATCACCTTTTCAAGACTTCCCTTAAGAATACTAAGTATCTGCTTCTGGCAGTCCTCTGTGAATTAGGTGCTTTCCACCTGACTACAGTCATTGACAAGGTGCAGTTAAAATATGAGAGATCCTACAGTCATTTCTGGATACTGGAAAATGTGTGTGCTCATGGAGGTATGTGGTACTTATATAGTCCATAGTGAATGTTAGACATGGAATACATGTAGAGTTAGGAATGTTGATCAAGTCTCCACCCAAACCCTGAAGACTTACAGCCCTGTAACTGATAACAGTAGCATGCTGAAGTTAAATGAAAGTTTGCACAATTTTCCAGCTTTCTAGTCTGTCTTTAATGAACATGGCCTCATTCACTTTCTGGGATGTATTCATAAGTATAGGGAACAAACTGTTGCTATAGGATACTTCTAATTTAATTATTTTCTGCTACAGAAAAGCTCTGCAACATTATGAATTAAATGTTTGAAATAATTGTTTCCCTGGGAGAAAAAAAAAAAACAAAAAAAAAACAAACAACAAAAAACCCCAGCAGCATTGCAGCATTGCATTATACTTCAGCTTTACTTGTGTTCATTCTCACATACTAAAATGTCACTTAATAGTAGCAAAAACAGTGACTGTGGATGGACTCTGAGATTAGCTGTAAAGAGTGAGCTGTGTTGAGTGGTTGGAGGCTAGAAGACAATAATACTCTAGCAATATAATGCACCTTGAACTTATCTATTGCTTCATACAGAGCTGCTGAGATATCAGAAGAAAAACCAACCCTACTCATTTTTCCACATGAGTACCCACAGCAATGCAGATAGCATCAGCTGTGTACAGCTGTAATGCAAGTATATTTATCTCTATACAACAATAACACATGGGAGAGAGATAAATAGGGGCAAACATTTAGCTGACTGCAACAAATAGCTTTACAAGTATGACTGCATTGTCCACACGGAAAAGGCATTTTTAAAGATCTGAGATTGGACAAGTAAGAAAGAAGAAGGTGTTGAGCACTTCCAGGGGACTGGTACAAAAGAGAGTAGAGAGGAATATCTGTCTATTGCATGTTCTCACACTACAATATAGGCTGACAAGGCGGTCTATCAAAAACCCTTTGTGATGGTTTTGTCTGGGGTAGAGTTAATTTTCATCATAGCAGTTACTATATGGCTATGTTTTGGATTTGTGCTGAAAACAGTGCTGGTAACACAGGGATGTTTTCGTTACTGCTGAGCAGTGCTTACACAGCTTCAAGGCCTTTTCTGCTTCTCACCCCACCCCACCAGCAAGTAGGGTGGAGGTGCACAAGAAATTGGGAGGGGACAGATCTGGGACAGCTGACCCCCACTGACCAAAGGGTTATCCCATACCATATGGCATCAAGCTAGGGGAAGAAGAACGAAGGGGGGACGTTTGGAGTGATGGCAATTTTCTTCTCAAGTAACTGTTATGCATGATGAAGCCCTGCTTTCCTGGAGGCCTGCCTGATGATGGGGAGCAGTGAATGAATTACTTGTTTTGCTTTGATTGTGTGTATGGCTTTTGCTTTACCTATTAAACTGTCTTTATCTCAACCCATGAATTTCTCACTTTTCCCCTTCTGACTCTCTCCTCCATCCCACTGTGGGGGGAGTGAGCAGCTGGGTGGGGCTTAGTTGCCAGCTGGGGTTATATCACAACAACCTTCCACACAAAAATCAGCTCAGTGTTATGAAAATGTTAATGCCAGGTCCTCCAGGGCTTTCTCTTTTGATTGCTTTGGAGAAAGAATAAAGGGAGAATCTCAAATCTACATTGTTGCCCCTCAAGTAAATACAACTGACTAGTTCCTCATCATTGTTTCCCTTCATTTCCCATTAAACACCCCTTCAGTAAATAACAAAGCTGACCTTTTTCTCAGACAAGGGGTACTTCATCTTGCAAAGGTGTATGTTTGAGAAAAACAGCTTCTCTGCCTTCCTGCAGATCTGCCTACTTCTGTTCTTATCATGACACAGAATAATTTCTTTCAACCTCAGATACAAAATGGTACTAGATAAGCCTATCTTCCAACTACTTGGTTCTTCCTTATGATTATCTATCAAATGCAAGATATATAGGCAAAGTAGTGAAAAATAAATATTATATGTAATATTTTCCCTTTTCCTAGTTTAAAGTTCAAGACAGGTAGAGAATCAGCCACAGATGACCAAGAAGACAAGGTTTCCAACTCATTTTAAGTCTGTACATTAACTATTAAGCAAGTCTCTTCCCAAGGTACTTAAATAAAAAAATGTCACTCCAGAGCTTGCCTTGGATCATCAGTTTGAAGCCATAACACGAATTGTAATTTTAAGTGTCAACTGAGATGAGACAAATGTGTGTTTGACTTCATTCAACACAGAGATTATTATAGAAAGGTAAATATGATTTGGTTGACGTTGAAGTTACTACCAGAAACAGTAAGCTGTTAGTTAAAAAGGAGTAAATCAGTGGGAAATGCTTTCTTCATTGGCCTACACAGTGGAATTATATAATTCATAAAAAGCATGATTATGTAATTCATTTATTGGATAATTTTGACTTTGACTACGTCATTCTCCTATACTTAGCTATCCCAATAATAAAAATGGCCAGGTGGACATAATACTTGTACTGTTATTCAGCAAGACACCCTATTACCTGTCCATTTTTAGGAAGATGTAACTGTTAACCTTGACTACTTCATTCTGTAACACAGACTCTCTCTCAGGCAAGTTTTTAAAAAAATAATTTCAGACACCATAGATCTCAGTATTGTATTGATATGTAACATTAATGCATAGCAACAAACTATGTCAGACAGTAAATTGGTGAATAGATGCATTGTAGCAAAAAGAAAAGTGAAAAAGAAGGAAAAGAGGCTAGATATTTTAGACAATTTACTTGTTATTATAGCCCAAGGCTTTTTCCTGATTCTTTTCAAGCTTCAATAAAAATGATATGAAATATTTAAAATGTGAACAGGCAAGATTACTTACTGTTTCCTGGATGCCAGCGCACTGCATTTAAATATGCATTACAGTAATGGAAGAGAAATTCATGCTTGGACCGAGTAACTTTTCCTTGAAGTAAGGGCATCAGATCATGTCCATCAATAATTCTGAGTAAGAAAGCATTTCAAAATCAGAAGAATAACTCAAACCTCACTTTAGTGAGAAGATATTATAACTCTGCATTTCCTCTACCTAAAAAAATAAATCTGAATGGCCACCTCCAGTCGGTCACTTCTGGTGCTTTTCCCCTTTGATTTTTATGTTATTTAAGGAAACAGTAATTTTACATTTTGCCATTAGGAATGGTTGTTTCCTCAATCCATTTTATATTTTTTTTTTTTTTTTTTTTTTTTTTTTTTTTTTTTTTTTTTTTCTCCTGACAAAATGACCAGAGATATGTGAATAAATTGCTACAAGAGTTCTCCAGGTATACCTGCTCAAGATGTTTAGGAGTAGTCTGACCAAAATAACCCTAAACCAAGATAAATATATGCTGTGCTGTGTTAGCATCATGGAAGTAATGGTAAGAACTCTGTCAAGAAAATTACGTCTGCCAGAATTTAAGACAGAAATAGTCAAGTTGAAAATGAACTATGCTTAAATATGTGTTTATCAACTACATATGCACACACACATATATATATATAAATTGTCAATATGCCACTGGACAATCTTAATCATGCTTTGAAGGAGTCAGACAATTTACATTAAAATGCAATTATAAAAAAAGCAAGGCATTTAAATGTTTCTATAACTTAAGCCTTGGAATTCCTGGAATCTGCTCTCAGGATAAATCACAATTTGCACTTTTGACTTGGTATCAATTACAGATTTTGCAAGAAGTTTTCTAGAAAATTATTTTTTTGGTGATATACAGATCATCAAATAATTATTTTTTAAGTATTTTGAGCAACATTTCATAAAAGCTCTTTTGAAACTTTTTAATAAAATGTTTAATGATGTTAATTTTTATTAAAGTTCATTGATGTTAATTTTCATTACCATGTAAAACCCTTTTCACATTAGTGTAACTACTGCAAGACAGGTATTAACTTCATTGTTTTAAGCCATGAGCCATATTATGACTATGAAATTCTTGGCAGCAATTACATGCAACACCACCATTCTAAGTAGGATTCTCAAAGGATGGGCAGGAGAACATCCTGGAATTTCTAAAGTTATGCTCTCCAGTAACTCTGCCTTCTTGGTGCATTCCTGTCTGTGGGGTTTGTTAAACAGAGTCTTTCCTACTTTCAACTTGTCATCTTTTCTTGCCTGAGTAATGCACTCGTCTTGCCCCTGCAGGCTTGCTCACTATCAAGCGGAGAGCAGGACAGATGTGTGTCTATTATATACTCCCTGTTCTACAGCATGTTGATGAGTAATATATTTCCAACACCCTTGCATTCCCACAACTCTTGGTTTCAGGTTTCAGGTGCTCCCTCCCAGTGACTGAATCCTAATCATAGTCATTTCTCTTATTTCTCAGGAAGAATTCAGTGGGGTGATAGGAATTCAGCGGCTGGATCAGAAATGCTTTAAGCTAGTCCATGACCTACCATGAAGCAGTATTTATGGCATTTACTCTACACAGAAGAATCACAGTGGAGCAACATGAAAGTGGAAGTTACATAAGTATATTGGTATTTCTATCAAAGAGATCAAAATAAAACATCAGTGCTTAGTATTCATTCAAGCAATACGAAAACCAAGTGAGTAAGATCTGCCCACATTAAGAACAATATGAAATTATTAGGTTTGACAGAGTTACTGCTTGTAGGGGATCTCTCAGCACCAGCCTGACTAATTTTTCATGTCTTACAGATGTCCTGCCCTGCCATTTCCTTCAAGCGCTCACTGAATCATCATTAGCAGAGTGTCTCTGCTTAGCACTGGTTTTCCCCATGCAGTTTCTGGATGTTTTGTGCTTAAAAGCTGTTTGTGTATGGTAGGTGTGTTCAAAGCATGTGCATATTAGTAGGTTTCTCACTGGATGTGGCTGGCAACAGAGTTTAGGTGAAGACACCTTACTGCTGAAACTGGGTATCTCCCAAACAAGACAAGGTACATGGATGTAGGAGTGTCAAAAAAGCATCTTATGGATTTTAGAAGTGCAGTGGGTTTTCTTATCAGGCTGCAAAACTCTGTTAAGGGATTATGTTCACTAACTTGGTAGAAGAAAAAAAAAACAACAACCAACCCTGTAAGAAAAGCCTAGCTCATATTTTGATGTATTTTGTTATACTAAGCATGTCAAGGTTTAAAATCTACATTTGCAGTTCCTTTTTCTGTCACATTCATTCATTCATTCAGAACAGAGTCTTTTTTGATACATTCATTTTTTCTTTTAGTAAATAATTCTGATTTGACAGTATGTTGCTCTTAGTGGTGTTCTCTTATCTTTTTGTTGCTTGGTGCTTGTTCTGAAAGTTAAGCTGTATTTACATACAATGTTTCTGTAAACTATATCAGTATGTCAATATGAAAAGAGACAACATACTACTGGAAGTAATGACAAAAATGTGCTTTTAAAATCTAGCCATTTCTTTTCATTTTCACCTCTATCTTACTAGACATTACCAGAAAGTATAAAACATTCATGAGACTTTGTCTAAAACTGCAGAGCATACCTGTCAGAGGGTAACTGTGCCTTGGCAAGTTTGACTATGGTAGGAAATATGTCCATGTTACTTGTTGGCTCATCAATATAGGCACCAGCCTGTACCACTCCAGGCCAGCGGAGAAGCCCTGGCACACGAATACCTCCTTCCCAGTTCATTGATTTTCCACCTAGAAAATGAAAGTTTTGTGTGTTAATCAATTTATTCTTAGAAAAATACACCCCTCCCAAGATGCAATTTCCAAATATTAGACATTCTGTCTAGACAGATTATTTTCATTAAATGTATTTATTTTTAATTTGTTAGGTTTAGATTTTCCACCTACAATCAGTACCTTTCTCACAGAAATCTGCTAATATATATTAGACAGAACTTATAAAATGTATTCACTTTACAAACAAAACCAGCTAAAAAACAGCTGTAGGAGGTAAAAAGGCAACTTTCAGGAATCCTCATATAGAAATTGATCTAGATAAATGCCACATAGCTATGTGTATATATATAACCAAAAAACAGGAATCAAAAATAAATTGAGGTATGTCTAGATGTCTGAGGTGTCAACCCAGAGAAGATATATGATATTTTATTAAAAATCGTGCATAATGACTTTAGATAGAAGAAAGTACTCATTTAAATACATTACTGAATTCTCCAATTCAATGCATTAGGAAGAAATTCGCTACAGTGATGGTAGATCTGAGGATGTTGTGAAGATTTTTTTTGTCTTCTAAACCAACATTGTTGCATCAGATACACTATCAACTGACTGCATTCAACACTACATTGCAGTCATTTCCTTTGTTTCCACAATAACCATCATTGTCCAGACCCCTGACATTGCTATCAGTAGTTAATATATGATACAACTCTGTATGAAGAGCTATCACAAGTACTATTATTAATGTCTCATACAGTCATGACTATGTACAGAGCACTTCAAGTTGATCTTTGAAATTAATATATCACTTGGAAAAAAAGTATTTCTGGTAAACAGATGGGGTTTGGATGTGGTTAAACATGGTCTGGGCCAGGCGTTTACCACTAAATTGATTTTTTTTTTTTTTTTAATATAATAGAAATGTCTGAAAGAAGAGGAATATGTTTTTTGAACACCTGCCATTAGCTGAATCACACAGCAGTTCATGGTTCAAACAAAGCTACAATGAGCTTGTTTTTCCTGTATCTCCCATTTTCATGTAAAATAAACCATAAAATAACAATTACAACCAAGTACTTCAATAGTTCTGTCTCCTCAGCCTCTTAGACCTTCAAAACACCACATAGATGTTAATATCTTTGGTGTCAAGCCCAGACCTTGCCATACATGCTATCTTACTGACTCCTCAATGATCTTTTCTATTTCAGCATTGGGGGATTCAGAATTTACCTGCTTTTCTACAGGTTTTTCATGGCTCGGTAAGATATTTTAATTTTTTTTTTTAATTTTTCATAATGGTAAGTGGCAACTTCAAGACAGAAAACTCTCTTTCGTAGAGATGTTTTCCCATAAAGTCTTGCAGCTGAAAAACTTCATCTCATGATTCTTTGTTATATTAGATTTTTGCTTATTTTATTCATGGGCTTTATCAGAATTCTTTATATTGAATAGTCAGGGATACATAACTAGTCTGATGTTAGAAAACTTAGACTTTCTAATATTCAGCATTACATCAAGCAACAACCTTTGCTGAAGTTGTTTTTGGATAGTAGTGCCAAGTTCAGATCTCAGCAAGACTATCTGTCTTTCAGAGCAGTCTTAAAAATTTAGCCTTGTCACAGTGTCAAATGCAATTCCATTCTCACAAATAAAGCACAAGGATACCTACTCTAAAACTCAGAAATTGAGATGCATGGATTAATTTTGTTTACATTCTTGTAAAAAAAATATTCTTTTAAAAAAATCTAAAGAAAATGTAGACATAAGTTTATAAATCTGTTATTTGGAGAGGTTTAAAACACCCCTCACCTAGCAGAAGGAAGTATTTACCCAACCGTATGCTGATCAGTTGTTAATATGGTTGGGTTGAGACCAGTGTAGATGTCAACAGACTGTTGCATCTTCTGTAGAAATGACCAATCTATCCATAAAAACAGTCATTAGGATTTTAGAAGTTCGGTGGGGATTATGTATTACCTAGCAGGAAACTGTCAAGATTAAGATCCTAACTGAGCTATGGTTCACAGAAAATCCCGTTGAGTGGGAGTAGTTAGATCTGAATAAAAATATAAGAAAAGTATGAACACATAAAATAACAGATATCCTCAAACTAATATATTTTCAATGAACAGTTATGCTGGGGGAGATGATTTAGTTCATGAACCAGATCGTAGTTGTGTGTACACATCACAGCAGCTTGTTGACTAGACAGCATGGACAGACAAAAAAATCTAAGAGTAGATCTATACCATAGGTATCTTTAAGTGTAAAGTTCCTCATATTTCTGTATACCTGTCTGAATTTACTAACAGTGCTAGCTAGATTGAATTGTTTAAATAAATTCTCATTTTACTGTTGCCTCCTGTGTAATCTGAAGACAGTAAGTGTTGAATCTCACTCCCACACATGCTGCAGTTCTTAAAACCTAGACATTGGATCGCTTTCACAGTTCCTAGATTCACAGTACAATTTTCTTGAATCACTACAGAACAGGACAGAAAACTTGCACATTACCCAAGCACAAAGGGAACACTCAGCAAACTCTGCCTCCCTGCTGTGAGGTACAAAAAGCAAAATGGACTCCACAACTGAGCTACCTCCTTCCTTATGTCGATGAAGAAGTGACTGCTGTTTTTCTTTTCAAAAGACTAATTGGAGCATAATTTTTTAATGTCTCTGAAGGTTAGGAATAGCAGGGAACCAGGGCAGGAATTACAGGTCATTGCAGAAGACTTTCTTTTATTATCTATGCCTATGTGGTGTTCATCTTTATTACAACTGTGTTTAGTGACATCACCAGAGTTGCTTTTTGCCAATGTATGGTTACAAATCCCTTGATATACATTGTCTTTAACACTCTAGCTGTTGAACATTGTTCAAGCTATCTACATTATTTTTTCCTTAAAAAATAAATCAAGGTTTCATTACTAATGCTTGAAACATGAACCTTCAAACAGCTAAAATATTAGAAGGAAAAAAAAATCCACAAAATGTCATTTAAAAATAAAATCTCTTGATATTTCATGATATGACTCATTAGTTTTGCATTCTGCTTGGACTTGACAACACCGAAACAGAGAAAAGGCATCAATCTAGTAGTCTGTATGCCTGGCAGACTCTAGGCAGCTTAGATATATATTATTTTTCTTCTCTTAAATTCTTCTAAAAATGTTTTTAAAACAGCATAAAACACCCCAGGCTGTATATTCATGCTTAGCTATCTATGCTTTCTGAGTAGTTGCACCTTTCAGTGTTATACTGAACAATAGTCTACATTCACCTTTCCTGAAAAATCTGCAGGAGTGGGTAATGTACAGACATAACTCTGCAGTCATCCACAACATGATGTCAAATTTCCATTTTAACCTCATTTAAAATGTTAGCTAAAAGAATATTTCTTTTTTTTTCCTCCCTCTGGTTTAAATTGACTGCTATTACCTAACTCTGGGAATAGAGCTTTTACAAAGTATGATATATAAAGGGGAACTCTGTGGTATATAACTATTTATATTTTGAATGAAAAATGGTGAAAACTATTTAAAATAACTTTCTTAGATCACTTGAATTATAATCGTAATACCCTTTCCTTCCTTCTTATATTCTTCTAAAAAAAAAAGCTTCCAAACCCAATTTGTTCTCTTGAATTATAGAAAAATACAAGGAAATTATTTATTCTACCCATCTGTAGTGAACTTTATGCTACAAATGTTGACAATCAAAACTGGTTACTATTGCTTATGTTAAAAATGCTCAAACAATTTATCTTCAATGGCAAGCTCATTCTATTGATTTTTCATCTGTTTCATGTACTGCTTTTGTTAATTTTCAACGTGAGCTGTTTTTGTACTGGTGAATGTAGTAGACATAGCCCATTGGGACATATCATCTGACCTTTCTTCCAAATGAAATTGTCTATCAGGATATTTTCTGTTTCAGTCAAAATTAAAAGATGGGTTGATTATTAAAAATCTGGATCACTTCAGAAAGAAGATCAAAATATAGTACATTTGAAAAAAAGGTCAACTCTTATTGCTCTTATTAAAGTCAAAAGTGAAATAAATACGAAGACAATAGTTCTAATGGGCAGGTCCAAGGTACAGGCAAAAGATACTTAGATATGTATCCAAAAAACGATGTTAGTATATTAAGAGATGCAAGGAGACTCCATAGAAAATCCCATACGTAACAGAGTGGGATAGATGTCAACAGGTGATAATGATGGAGGACTTCTGTCTGCATATGCACCAGTGAAATACTATAATGAGAAAAAGTGCAGAGAAAAGTTTTTAATGCTTTCACTGTTTACTGCTATAAAGTATATGTCAGGAGAGACATATTTTATAACACACTGAAGCTAATTCAACAAATGAGTCACTAAGCAACAAAATAATTAGATTCGATATCTGAGGATACCAAAGAAGAATATAATGGCATCATTTAGACCTGTCATCTTAAATTATTGTTTATTCAATGGAGAGAATATTCTATTAATCTATTTATTCTATTCATCTTATTCTAAAGTACAGATCTAAAGTATTTCAAAAAGCTAACCTTATTTCTGTTCCTAAGGGAAAGTTAAGGTGGCTAGGTGAAATGAACATGCTTAAATTGCAGATGTCATACTAATGAGAAAGCTAGTGAAAAACACCTAAGAAGTCAGTGCAGGTATCCTGTATATCTTATACAAAACCAAAGTTCCATACCTTTTAACAGAGAAATGTCATAGAACTGAAATCAAAGAAGTTGCTGTAAAAATTACACAGAAAGTTTTAAGAAGAGACTTCAGTTCAGTACAATAGTTTCCATATTTCAATCTGAAAATGTGAATTAATATTAACAGGATAAAAGACCGTAAATTACATATTATACATCATAATGACATACATTATAAACAGCTTAGAGGTCATAAATTGTACATCAGATATGACTTCTATGCCGATATATAAAAAATCATTCAATGATCTGTTATGAACGATAAAGAGCTAAACAGGAAAAGACATAGAAACAAAGAT